TGTCATAAATTTCAAGCAGGTTTGCTGTCAAGTCTGGTGACGCCGTGGTAGGCAGGCCAGAAAGCTTGGGAGTATCCGAGAGGCCGAAATCGAGAAGGTCTTCAAGCGACTGGAGCTTTTCGATCTTGCTTTTGGCGATGTTGGGGATCTGACGAGGATGGGATGATCTAGAGACAGTCTCACCCTCAAATAGGCCAAACGGATCCTCCAGGACATCTTCCGTTTCGCTGGTGTCTGCTTGGACCACAACCTCAGAAACTTCGGTGGCCGACTGTTTCTCTTCCTGCTCGAGGTATTCGGGTTCTTCGTAGAGGCCTTTTGTAATTTTGCCGAGAACATGGGGAAAGATCCACGGAAAGCTGATCAGCGGCCATTGACTCATATCAGGCTTCTTCTGTGAGGATTCTCCACCGTCTTCTGGATGAGAATGTTCGCGGTGCTTCTTCAGGGCAGCGGTCATCTCCGAATGCGTGACGCGGTACATGGCAAGCGCTAGAGGTGCCAGCTGCTCGAAGTTGCGGCCACCAACTTCGGCATAGCACCTCTTTTTGAAGGTCTCGAGGTGACCCAGGGCGAGGGTTCCAATCTCCTCATGGAACTTGTAGTCTTTACTCATGTTCGCATGGCTGAGAACAAAAGTAGACCAGACTTCGAATTCAGTCTTGATTTCATGTTGAGCCATGATGCGAAGGGTCGCCGTATCATATTCACCCTTGAGATCTTTGGCAAATTGGTAGAGTTTCTCACTTACTTGCAGTTTGCAGTCAAGGATTCGCTTGTCGAAGGGCATCTCAAGACTGGGTGTAAAGTCAACACGTTCCACGGCGTCGTAAAGCTGGCCCAGAATCTTTTTCGAACGATAGATCTTGTCAGGCCCCTTTCCCTTCTTCTCCATGAAATGCGGCCACATGTGAGGCTGGAGATTGCGGGTCATAGCTGCTGGGATCCCAGTCTTGTTGTAATCGACAGCATCCGAGTGCAGTTGCGCTAGTCGCAGACATTTGTCTTCATTGACTCCATTGTCCAGACGATCCGCCCATGCAAGATGTGCGTGTGCGATCATCGGAAGGCAATCGTTCTTCATGTAAGTCACAAAAAACGATGTGATCTCATCAACAGTGACATCGTGATCCAAGTCTGGGGCCTTCTTGCTGGCGTATCTCATAGGTGGACGAAACCAATCCTGGGGCAGTAGATCTTGATCCCAAATGACCAGGTAGTCATCGCCATCAAGGTCTCCACCGGAGCACATGCTGGCGATATCTTGATCACCGGTTTGGGGCAATACAACTACGTCGTGAAGGTTGTGCAACTGCGGGATGTCAACAGCTCTGACCACCCGGATGTCACCGGGGTGAAGGGATGGATTTCGAGCCAGTATGCAGACACCTTTGATGATGGTGTATTTCTCCCCATCTTCACTGCCTTCTGCCTCGGGTTGGGAAATTTGCAAGAAGATTTGGGGTAGCGCTGCCAGCTGTTTTTCGAGGGGCTCATTGTCCTTGGGAATGTTGTTATAGTAAACTCCTCTGAGTATACCAGTCTCATCCATACATCCCAGGAGATTAGCACCTCGCTCAATTACTATTTTTGCTTTCTCTTTCAGGTACTTGAGGTGCCAGGCTCTCCATAAGGCCATCACAGATGTCAGGAATGGCTCCCGAGACTTCATGAACCCGTCGGAAATCATTTCACTGACAGTGAGTGTTTTTTGATTCGGATCGACGTACCTTTTAAGAAGCGAGATTGCCAGAGAATCATTTTCCATGGCTTGATCAAGATTCTGAAGCATGTCCTGAAGCTTATCATGAAATACATTGTCGGGTATACCCAAGGTCGACAGAACGACAATCAATTGTCTGTTAAGCGTAGCGATGCTGAACTGGGACCAACGAATGATCTCCAAGTTGTTATGAATTGCGGTGAATTTGTATTGGCTCTTGCGAATATGAACCTCTTGGGGCTGAGCTTCAGGAGAAACAACGAGCATGCCCTTGCATCCTCCAAGGCGAAACTGAAACGCGGAAGGAGGGTCGCCAGATGGTGTTTTGATCTTCAATTCTGTCATTGCCATTTGTGCAAGAAATCTTGATATTCTTCCGACGCCGTCAGAGAAGACATGGCCATTACGCTCTACGTCATTGATCTTTCGGATCTGCACAGGACAGCCAGCTATCGCCCTGGTGGTTGAAAAGCATTGCCCTAGCCGTGCTGCATGCTTGGCGACGTTGCGTATATGGCTAAAGTGGCCCATCCACTTGCGAATATTGGCAGTTGTGAGGCCCGGCAGCGGGGCAAAGAAGTAAGCGCCGTGTTCACGAAACTGCGAATTTCCGAATGCAAGAAACTCGTAGTGCCTGTCACCGATGACTATGCCATTGGCCAAGGCTCTCTTGATGCGAGTGAAGATCTCGTTCCTTGTGTTATCCATGGTTGAATTAATGCGGCCCAGAAGCTTCTCATCCGTGAACCTTACACGAAGGAATCGATCTGCGTGCTCGACATAACGTCGAATGATCCTGTTTGATATGTCGACTGTGGGTGTGTTGAGGTAGATAGTGGTGGGGGTAATTCTGGCGGAGCGCATATAGCAACAGTAGGGTGGTATTTTCGCGTTTGTCACACCCTTGATAAATTTGAGATTGAAGATTTCTAGAGGATTGTGGTAGACTCGCTTTTGTGTTGCTACGTGCTCTAGAAGCTTCTTGGCTCTGGTATCCTCTAGCTCAGCCAGTCTTGTTGCGAACTCGCGCGTCATAGTGAATTCAGAGAGGTATCCGTTGGAAATGCACACCTCCAACTGATATCGGACGGCAAAAGGAAGATAAACATAATTCGAGTCAGACAGAGACTGCAGTGAGGCCGAGATCTTGGGAGCCTGGCTGTTTGGAGAGGCTTGGGCATCTGTCAAGTCGATCCACTTCCAGATAGGGGGAGTCCTCTCCTTGCTGCCATCAACTTTGATGTCGTAGTCACTCTCTTCCACTCTGATGTTGTAGTCCTTGAGTATCTCACACAGGGTCTGGAATTGCCCCAAGTCCTCGCAACCATCTCGGAAGTTGAACTCGAAAGCTGTCCAACGACCTGTATACCGGACATAGCAAGGGGTCAATAAGTGACAGATCATGGGAAGGCACAATGAAAAAGAGTAAGTATGAGACACAAAAGACAAGAGAATACACAGGAATAGGGAGTGAGAGAAAGAAGGCTTTCAAAGCACTCACCCAAGTCAATGACTGAATGTTGCCTTTGTAGGCTGATGGGGAGGCCAGACAGCCTCCGCGGCTGGTGGACGATCTGAGTTTGTCTATACCAGGTGTCTGCATCCCTCCAATGATGGTCCTCCAGGAATGTCGACCTGATATCATCTATGCGCCGCTGATAGATTGGAGGGGAGTCAAGGATCGTTAGATGTGAGATCGACTTGGTGTCCGCGTTCCGCCTCTGAGCAATTTCATTCAGCTGCACGAAGGGAATTCTAATCTGGTAGTTCTTGTAGGTTTCACGCATGGAGGTCTTCTTATTGGTCGAGTCGAAAATTTGGATCTGAAATTGGACGAGCATAGCTTTGGACCTCATGTCAAGAACTATACAAAGGCCACCGCCGGGCGGATTCTCAACTGTCCGCATTGGTAAAAAGATGTTCTCACCAATCATAACACCAATATCTAGTGAAGCGAGTGGAATTTTCTGAGAAGCAGCATAGGCCCGTGAGATGATGTCAATTGCAGGGGATGTAAGTCTCAAGCATACTTACAATCTCTATTGGATATTGAACGAGGGGATGGGAAGGAGACTGGATGCGGTCGCTCGGTGAATTGAGCTCAGGCTTGACGGAAATGGTGGCCGACCGACCACCAGGCAGATGAATGGTGTAGCTGCCTTGGCTCCAAAAGTCCTTAATGGGAGGCGGTCTGACCCAACATTGGATGAGTGTCAACTTGCAGGTGGATTGCAGTGATGGAGGATTACCTGAAGCGTATCTTCCCTCGCGAGTTTCTTTTCCCCTGAAAGTTCTCGAAGAGATCGATGGAGAAAATGCGCCCTTCGTTTTTAAAAGAATGCCATATGCAAGCTGCATCGACCTCGTCTGGAACTTGATGAAGAAGGATAGCCAGAGAATCGAACGACTTCCATGGAGGCATGAGGTTGGCCACCGCTGTTTTTTGTGGAGGCTGAGCTTGAGCTTGAAGGCCCCCCCTTCTGTTCCTCAAAACAACTGGCTTACCTCGGGTGCTCATCTTGACTCTGGGTGAAGGCCTCTGGAGGAAAGAAGACTGGGGGGTGGAGAGCGAGGGAGAACAGGAAGAGGCATCGAGAGAGGACGAGAAATAGCGAGGACGAGGCGAAGAAGCGGAAGTGGAGTGGGAGGAGGATGAGGGAGAGGAGGAAGTGGAGGAAGTGGAGGAAAGACCCGAGTCAGTTGGCGATGAGTTCTGCCTCACAAGTGTAGTCACACTCGAGTGAAGGATGGCATGAGAACCTTGTGTCGCATCAAGAGGCGAATTCAATGCGAAAGATGAAGGATGCCCCTCCGACGCCTTATCCTGGTTTAGATATCTTGTTCCGGAGAATGCCATTGTGTCGTTGTCCGGTCAAGACAGGATTCATCATATGTTAACTGGAATATGTTCTGCTCTGTCTCTCATGGTGTTCAGGAAAGGAGACTACGAGTACTTAAAAGATATTCATGACAGAAGGCTCTCTGTTTACAGTCATGCAGGTACCCATTCACTGAAAATTCAGTGCTGGGTTCTCTTTGATGGCTGGGCTTGTTAGACTGCAACGCGGACCTTATCCTTGTCTCATTCGTAGGAGAGAGACATAATTGTTGACCTGGATTGAAGAATAGTGGCTACAAGCGCTCGCACATCAAAACTACAGGAGATTTCAACTGCAAACAGTTCAGATCACTATCCAAGAGAGGCGGAACAAAAGCTCCAAGTCACAATCCTTCCCGTAAGCAACATCTAAATCCGAGTGCCAAGGGAGCAACGCCACTATGTCTCAGACGGTGGCGCGTGGTCGTTTGAGTTGGACAAAGACGTGCTTGTAAACAGGAAGTCCTTGGAGAACTCCAAATCCATATCCAAATCGATGTGTTGTAAGTGATTTTCACCCAGCACTCCACGGGGTTGGCTCTGATCGACTGTGTGTCTCACACTTTCACTGCGATGCGATTTAGTACTTTGCTGAGAGGAAGGTTGACTGTTCGGATCCGCGTCTGCCAGAGGCGTCCTCTGTCGATGTTGTTTTGAAGCCGCGGCCTCACGGCCACCCGCATCCACCAGCTGACCGCCATTTACAGTACGAGGTGAGGACAGGTCGGCGTCGGGAAATGCCCTGTCCAGAGATCTTTTCTGGCTTTGATTCCTAGAGGAGGACATCTCGCTCTCAAAACTTGCTCCCGAACGCTCATCGGGCTGAGTCTGAAAGTCCTCCTCTTCCACTTCAACCTGCGTTTGTTGCGGCATCGCCACGGGCTCAGCGGATTCTGCTCTACTGTTAGATCTAGGCCGCCGGTGTTTCTTCGGAGTCATTGACACCTCGGGCTCAGCTTTGAACCCCATAATGTTCATCAGCCGTCCGATGTGTTGCTGGGCCTCAGAGAACTCCCGAGCTTTAGCTGCTCGCTCGTCTTTGAGCTTTCGCGTCTATAATCAGAATTGAATGTTATTGTTAGTGGTGTTTACCGACAAAACAGGTGAATTTGGAGGCGTCATGCTAGCGTGATCGCGGTTTCAGTGTCATACCTTTGTTTCCAAGTATTCAATGCGCTTGTTTTTCTCCTTCGCTTCCGTGGCAGCGATTATAGCAGCTTTGTCTTTGGAAGCACATACACGAGCGTATTTTTCCTTCCATTTATCGTTCTATATATGTGAGTCGAAGTGGAAGAGCTTGCCCGATCAAAGTGCATCATACCTCTACAGCCGCCTTTTTAGTCCGCTCCTCAAAATTAGCACGTTCTCTCCGGTGTTCCTCAATCGCGGTTTGAAGTGCCTCTTGAAGCTTGTCGAATTCTGCATTTCGTTCGTGCAGCTGTGCAATATTAGAGAACGATTCCCATTCGAACAAGATATTGAAAAGCTCACCTTCTCTTGTAACATCTCTGCCTCTCTGCCGGTGTTTTGCTTCTCATCCAAGATTCGCTTCGCTTCCTCTTCTTTGTCAACAACCAGTGTTTGGAAATGATGTAGGCTTTGTCGAAGCACAGCAGCTTCTTGTTCCAAGGAAACAACTTGCTCCAGACATGTGGCTTTATCTTTGGAGACCTCGGCAAGCACATTCCGTAGGTCGTCATACGCTTGCTTTTGCTCGGTGACCTCTTCTTGAAGCGCTTCCAACAGATCATCCTTTTCAGTGATAGAGGCCACTAGGTCCAATTCCCTGGTCCTGGCCTGTTCTCGCTCGCATGTGACAGTCTCTTGAGATTCGCGCCGATGGTCCGCCAATTCCTTCTGTAACGCCTTCAAGTTCGCCGTCAACTCTTCGGCACGCATAGATGCAGCTTCTGACTGATGCTCCAGGCGGAAGATATCCTGGTGTAGATCGTCAATAGTGCCGGAGGACTTAACTAGCTGCGATTGTAGCTCAACGTTCTCTTCTCGCAGTTTTTCCGCTTCCAAAGAGTACTCGTCACGTTCTCTTTCCACTGCTCTGAGGGGGGCTTCGACATTGCCACAGCGCTGCTCAAGGTCATAGCAGATATCTTCAATCGCGCGTATCATAGTCTCTTGACTTGTACGTGAATTCAGCATCAATGTTTCTGTCATCGCTTCCCTCCAATTGGATCTTGAACTTGGCAAATTTTCATGTGATCTAAGTGGCGAGACGATCCTGACACCGTCGTTGGGCTTATTCGTTGAGATTCTGCATCTACGCCTGCAAAGGAACTGCTTGGACTTTTCAGTGAACAGCCGCAAAGTACCGGCTTCGGCAGGATACAGTCCGCTGGCGTCCCATTTGTGGGACAGCGACGCGTATAGGTTGCAAGCAAACAGGTCACAAACTAGCTCATTCTGCAGCTGCGAATGTAAGTCGTAGCATATACTGGACTCATGACATTGTGTTGCAGATGGAGCTCTTGGGAAACTTTCGAGGGGGCGAATCATCGACTTGCTGCATTCACGCAGGATTGTCTCCGAAATGCAGGTGGTGAATAGTTTCGCGTCTGCGTGCTGTAAGCCTGTGACGAGTGACCTCGCTATCTCTAGACTCTGCAAGTCCGATGGATTGCTCGGACGTGATATTTGTAGCGTCGAGAAAGCATAGTCAAGGATCTCCCGTACTGCGGACTCTTTCGAACAAGCCTAGAGCGTATTAGTATTCTTTCTGTGTGCAGTTATGTATTACCTACGGCATTTGCAATTGCTAGTCGTTGCATATACTCGAGGGGAAGCACGCTCAACACAACGGGACTAGTTTCTGACAAGGCCCAGTCGAGAGCAAGTCGAGGTATTTCGGGGGTCAGTGCCGCTGTTGGAAGAATAGAAACGAGGAAGGTAGCACCCTATCGCATGTTAAGTGCTTGAGTTCATGTGCGAAGAGGCCCTGACCTACCAGTATTTGTACGCCGCGATCAATGCCGCTTCTCATCACTTTCTCTCGCAATTTGGCGATCTTGGATGGATTTGCTGCATTCCATGCTTCCTTCTGCTCAGGTTCGACCCTATCACAAATCTGAATAGCTAAGCAAACACTTTCAGCAGCTTGTACTGGCGTCAGTTCACTGCATGAGTCAGAGCAAGCAAGGATCACTCTCAGGACTACAAGATCTATTGTCTTGAGCCCGCGCTTGGGCCCAAAGAAATGGCTAACACTTTGCAACCATAGCGGAGTAGATGATCGGGATTCTTGATTCGATAATTTCCCCTGCAGCGATGCAAGGTTGGCCAAGGTTGCGAGAGAAAGAAGATTGCCCATGTGGTCAGCGAGGTTGCGTAATGTCTTTGTGAGCTCAACCTGGATGCTCGACATGATCTCGGTGGAAATCTCGAGTAAAACTCTGGGAGAGGTTTGTAGGCCATTTGATATACGGTGCAGGGGCAAAATAGTCTCCGAGCACGGATTCTCTGATAATTGACGGATTACCGATGAGAGGAACGCTGTCAAACGCGCTGGGACAAGGAATGCCGGTGGCAGAGGGGAGGACAGAATTGCAATGCATAGAGAAGCATACTGCGCTTATTAGCTTTGGGCTATTCTACCATGTTGCTCGGTCTTGAACATCGCAGATGGCTGAGGAGATGGGCATAGAAAATCGTGATTAGAGGTACCAACCTCGGAACCCTCCTCTGTCGTAGACTTTTCAAGGAATTGGTCAAGAAGATGAGGGTATTGCTGAAGTAAGAAATCACGAAAAGAAACGACGGGCACTGTGATCATCAGGTCTTCCATTCTCAGAATCTCTGCAACCCGGGTATACTTACTGAATGCATTAAGCAAAGATAAAGCAAGGCGGGACCGAGATAGACCTTCAACGAGAAGGTCTACGAGGGCCCCAATCTGGCATGGTTTACAGAACGCCCAATGTCTGATAGAAGCAGGTGATGCATCCTGAATCAATCCATATAGGTCCTGGGTGCTCAGTATAGGTCAGCTGGTGGTCTCGGATTGATATAGATTAGCAGCGTGGAGCTGCGGGGTTTACCTGTAGCGAAGGTGCATATGGGGCCGTAACAAGGCGCTCCACTTCGCGCCCAAGTTGAATGCTCGTAATTTGCTCAGCCATAGCTGGCAGGCCTAATACTCCAACAGAGTCTTCCACGCTTGCTTGGAAGTCGAAACGAGGCCTTAGTTATTGTCTTGGGACATCGATCAACAACTGTGGTCAAGTGGCGGGGGAAGAAAAAGATAAGATGCAGCCGGTTGCCCCGACAATAAGGCGGAAGCCACTCCGCCTGACAATTATACTGTACACTATTGTACTGTAACTTACAATCCTCTTCTAGAATACTGACCCACAAGAGAGAGCTCTTGGAAAACAAGATAAGGATCAATTGAGGAAGAAAATCGAAAACAACAAGACCAAGCCTATTTCCTCGAGATAATACATCATCTAACCAATCGTCAGATCCAGTCCCAAGAACCAGGGTCCCATGTTGTTGAGCCCCTTGGCAGGCACAGCAGTCGGGGTTCTGACCGAAGTCGAGCAATCCCGATTCCCCAACGCTGACCCTAGGATCTTTTGGAACCAAGATGAGGGGAAATGCGAGTGCCGCACGTATGTGCGCTTCTCATCTCCAACGGCTTTTCCATTTGCCCTCGGCTCTTCTTATCTTGATTTCTGTATCATTCTCGGCCGATTTCCGATCTTTGCCAGTCCTCATTATTAGCTCCGATGGCGTTAACCGGGCTGGCTCGCAGATGCACGAAGCTAGGGCACCCCCAAAGAAAACCAGTTTCTCGAAAAGATCTCTCTCTCTCTGCTTTGCGAAGTCATTGCGTCTATAATTGATTGCTCCTGATTTCTTCTCCATTCAAGTCCATCTTCAGTTTTTCTGTCAATCCTCAATTTATACTGTGCATAATGCGGGCTCTCGTTCAATTGCCTCGGGTCTTCCCCGCATCTCCCCGCACGAGGGTGGCCGCCCACTGTCGCCCACCGACTCTTCTTACACAGCACAGAACAGTCCGCTTGCGAAGTGACGTGAGTCCGACCAGTCTCAAGAATAACTCGAGCAAGAATGGGGACTCGGATTCTTCAAGTGACAGCAAGCCTTCGGGCTTTGCCTCCTTGGGCAACACTCTTCTATTATCCGCATTGGCTGCCGGGGCCGGTTACGCATATGCAGTCACTTCTAAGAAGGAACAATCAAGCCAGCCTCAGTACGGGTCAGGGAAGGACTTTACAAAGGTAGGCAGCTATCCTGTTAAGTTCACCAGCATACTACAAGATACATGTAACTGATCGAGTCGGCACACTAGGCTATTGCAGAGCTGCGAGTCGTCCTAGGCGAGGATGCCATCAGCACGGACGAGGACGATCTTCAACGCCATGGATTCTCAGAATGGTCCAGTGTCAATGCAGACCGTCTACCGGTCGCCATCGCCTACCCGAATAACACTGAGGACGTCTCCAAAATCGCTCAGGTATGCCACAAATATCGGATGCCAATGGTTCCTTTTTCCGGCGGTTCCAGTCTCGAGGCCAATTTCTCTGCCCCGCACGGAGGCTTGACTATAGATTTCGCTTCGATGAACAAGATTCTCGAGTTGCATGAATTCGACATGGACGTTGTGGTGCAGCCTTCGATCCAATGGATGGATCTCAACGAGAAGATCAAGGACAGTGGCCTTTTCTTCCCGGTTGACCCCGGCCCATCTGCAATGATTGGTGGGATGGTTGGCACGAATTGCAGTGGAACAAATGCTGTGAGATATGGAACTATGAAAGACTGGGTCATCAACCTCACGGTTGTCCTGGCCGACGGCCGAATTATCAAGACACGTCGCCGTCCACGCAAAACATCGGCAGGGTATAATTTGACGGGACTATTCGTAGGTTCCGAGGGGACACTTGGTATGGTGACTGAGGCTACCCTCAAATTAGCTCCTATCCCAGAGCAGACACGAGTTGGCGTCGTGACCTTCCCGACCGTGCGCGATGCTGCTTCGACCGCCATGCAGCTTATTCGACAAGGTATCCTGGTACAGTGCGTGGAAATCTTGGACGAGGTCCAGATGGACGTCATCAACCGGGCCGGTGGCACCGGACGCACGTGGAAGACGTTGCCCACACTGTTCTTCAAGTTTTCTGGCACGAAGGCAGGGGTCGCTGACAGCATCAACTTAACCACCAAGTTAGCCAAAGGGAACAATGCCAGCTCCTTTGAATTTGCACGAGACGAGCGTGAAGCTCATGACCTGTGGTCTGCGCGGAAGCAATCACTGTGGAGTATGCTGTCGCTAAGGGAAAAGGGGTCTGAGGTATGGTCTACAGACGTTTCGGTGCCCATTTCCAGACTGCCAGATATCATCGGTAAGACCTATCCATGCAACTGCACGTGGGCTTTGCTAATCTGGAACCAGAAATTTCCAAGAAGGAACTAGACAATCTTGGCCTGTTTGCCAGCATTCTCGGGCACATCGGTGATGGGAATTTTCACGCAAGTATTCTGTACGACCGCGGCGATCCCAAGGAGCTGGAGCGAGTGGAGAAGGTTGTGTACGATATGGTCGATCGGGCCCTAGAGATGGAGGGTTCATGCACTGTACGATATAAACCCCCCCCCGGTTGTCTGTTCGATGCACATATGGCTGACTATTGAATAGGGCGAACATGGTGTTGGTCTGGGCAAGAAGGGTTCCTTGAAGAAGGAACTTGGCCCGGACACGATAGATGTTATGCGCTCTATCAAGCAATCACTCGATCCCCATTGGTTACTCAACCCAGGGAAGATCTTTGATTATGAACGTAGGGCATAGAGTGCATTTCCATATGAAAGATTCTCCATTGCATTTCGGATCATTCTCGAAATGTACTGGTACAAGTGGCCATTTCGAAAAAATTGAATGATTATAACATGACCTTAGACTACTGCTAAGTCAGGTTTATCTACTCGAGTACGATGAATCGGTACTAGAATATGTAGATTCCGTCTTTATTCCTGCTTACCTACTCCGTGCCCCTTGAGCATTTTCGTCATCGGCCGTTTTAGTAAGGACCGTTCAGGAACACAACCTCTAGCCAATCAAAACCGAGAGAACTATGCCCGAATACGATGACTAAGCAGGGCTGACTCACCGCGGGGCAAATGGCTCCGGAGCGATATCGCAGTGTCCCGCTCCAACGCCACGGACTTCTCACTCTCTCTAGTCTCTATCCCAAGTGTCAGGAGGTAAGTACTATTGTGCTTTTGTTCAATTGATGTTTTGAGATGTGATTGCTCCAACGAAATCAATCTTCAGCATCCACGACCAGTCCCTGATTAGGTTCAGTGAGACCTTCCATGAGTGGGGTATCGCTTTCAACTTGATCTGCTCGACTGGCTTGCTGCGAGCTGTGAATGATTCGGTCCTATTTCCGGATCTTTTGTGCTGTTTTCCATTGGAATCATCTACATAGTTGCGATCTCACATGAACCCAAGTAACTGACAGCATCAGGATCAATAGTCTGGACTCGCATAATGGCCTCATATCCTAAGAAGAAGTGCGGTAAGAAGGCCTTGGACAAGGAATGTATCTGAAGAGAAAGTTAGTACTGATTCAGGGCAGGTGTCCTCGGAGCCACTGGCTCGGTTGGCCAACGGTTCATCCTCCTGCTTGCCGACCACCCTTTCCTGGAACTGCACGCCGTCGGTGCCTCGGAGCGCTCCGCTGGAAAGGCCTACAAGGATGCTGTGAGATGGAAGCAGACTACGGCTATGTCCGAGAAGCTCAGCAACCTTGTCCTTCGTGATTGCAAGGCCGAGCAGTTCGCCGACTGCGACTTGGTCTTCTCTGGACTCAACAGTGATGTGGCGGGCGATCTCGGTAAGAGGCTATCCATGCAACGTCTCTGGAAACCTATTGACCAAATGCGTCGCAGAAATGGAATTTATCAAGGCCGATATCCCCGTTTTCTCCAATGCTAAGAACTACCGCAAGCATCCCTTGGTCCCGCTCATTGTCCCTACTGTCAACCCTCACCACTTCGACCTCATTCCTCACCAGAGAAAGCACTTTGGCCTGAAGAAGGGCTTCCTGGTCTGCAACTCTAATTGCGCCGTCATCGGCATCGTCATCCCATTCGCCGCGCTCCAGGCCAAGTTCGGTCCTGTTGTCGAAGTGGAAGTCTTTACTGAGCAAGCTCTGTCCGGAGCCGGTTACCCTGGTGTTCCCAGCATGGACATTTTGGACAACGTCATTCCGTTCATCAGCGGCGAGGAGGACAAGCTCGAGAATGAGGCGCAGAAGATTCTGGGTTCTCTGAATGCTGATGCTACTGGTTTCGAAGAGCAAGCCGGCCTCAGAGTAGGCGCGACTTGCACTCGTGTTGGAGTCACTGATGGCCACATGGCATTCGTTTCCCTGCGCTTCAAGAACCGCCCGGCGCCCAGCGCAGAGCAGGTGGTTCAAGCGATGAGAGAATATCAGTCCGAGGCGCAGAAGTTGGGTGCCCCGTCGGCTCCTGCAGAGGCTATCAAGGTTTTCGACGAACCCGATCGGCCCCAACCCAGACTCGACCGCGATATCCACAAGGGATACACCGTTAGTGTCGGACGAGTCCGTGAGGGTCAAGAAGGTGGCTATTTCGATATCCGATTTGCTGCCTTGTCGCACAACACCGTTCTGGGCGCTGCGGGATCGTCTATCCTCAATGCTGAGGTTGCCGTGATTAAGGGCTACATCTAGACATTCTAGATGATAAAAATGTATATAGAGACTTGGGTTAGCTTCTTTCTCTGATAAACAGCTTGAGAACTTAGCAGTCGGTGTCAACAAAGTGACGACCGAAGTAAGTAGATGTCTTGACACGTGAAAGCTGAGTGACCCACTTGCAGTATTACATAATGGGCAAGGCCGGTCCAAGCTAGTCTTTTATCAGCTTAGCGTGAAATGAACCCAATTTCAACGGGGTTAGGGCTCAACCCGCCAGCACCGGACGCTAAGCGAAAATTGAGAGCGCCCTGGATATCAGCAGCTGAAGTCCCTGCCCCAACCGTACTTTCTCTTTCGCGACACTTCGACAACTTAACCGGTTCAAGTCGACAAAGCAGCCAAGATGCCTCGCGGACCGTAAGTCCTGAGCCTCACCACACGAACTGTGACTTTCATGCCACTGCGACCATGTTCGGCGATTTTTTCGAGACTTTTGAGTCGCAGGAGCAGATGGTTGCAAATTCAACTTGGAAGTGAGGATGGAAGAGCTGACTCGATTGATCGTGCAGTAAGAAGCACCAGAAGCGCCTTAGCGCGCCTTCGCACTGGCTCCTGGACAAGATGTCCGGAACCTATGCTCCCAAGGCCTCCCCCGGTCCCCACAAGCTCCGTGACTGCCTGCCCCTGATTGTCTTCATCCGCAACCGGTACGAACCCTCGAGCGACACGACGCGAACTCCGACCCGCCCGGAGGAACAGCGGCTAACAGCGAATATAGTCTCAAGTACGCCTTGAACGGCCGCGAGACCAAGGCCATCATGATGCAGCGTCTGATCAAGGTCGACGGCAAGGTCCGCACCGACCCTACCTACCCTGCTGGCTTCATGGACGTCATCGGCATCGAGAAGACCGGCGAGAACTTCCGCCTGATCTACGACACCAAGGGTCGCTTCACCGTCCACCGCATCCAGGCTGAGGAGGCTGAGTACAAGCTCTGCAAGGTTAAGCGTGTTCAGCTTGGCAAGGGCGGGATCCCATTCTTGGTTACGCACGATGCGAGAACGTGAGTGCATGCTCTCTACAAGTTCCGTGTCATTCAGTCGTTGGACCAAGCTTTGGTTGATCGGCGGAGGACGAAAGAACCGGAACGACGGTTTCTTTACGGGAACATCGTAAGGGACCATATGAATTGAACATTCATGCTAACAAGGCTTATCACAGCATCCGCTACCCCGACCCCGCCATCAAGGTCAACGACACCGTCAAGGTTGACATCACCACTGGCAAGATCGCCGACTTCGTCCGCTTCGACACCGGTGTTGTCTGCATGGTTACCGGTGGTCGTAACATGGGTCGTGTTGGTGTCGTCACCCACCGTGAGCGCCACGACGGAGGTTTCAACATCGTCCACATCAAGGACGCCATTGACAACACCTTCGCTACCCGCGAGTCCAACGTTTTCGTCATTGGCCAGGACAAGCCCTGGATCTCCCTTCCCAAGGGCAAGGGTGTCAAGGTACGTTGCTTTCCCAGCATTCTGGCATGCATGTCAGTTTGAGACTGACCGATTCTCTTTTAGCTCTCCATTGCTGAGGAGCGTGACCGCCGCCGTGCCTACGCCATCGCCAACTAGATGTAGTTCGGTAAGTGTCGTAGGATACAGCAAATCAAAAAGCTTTGAAAAATTCCGCTGGGGAGACGACGTCTTGTCTTGCTTTGTGGGCCTGTATGACGCCGGTTACGATAATATGAAGCGTTATTCAGAATCAAAAAAAGAGAAAGTTCTGTCCACTGGATATTCCACATTGGGCCTGTCCATGCCTACCACATCCTGTAGGCTTAGACGTACCATAGATGCAAAGCAAGGCATTCTCCTAGTGCTTCTTGTCCTCTCACCTAGTCGTATTCTTACTTCATGCTGCCAATAGCGGAGATTCCCAAGTCTCGTAGTCCGCCGTCTTACCCTCCCCGACCCAGATTAGCAATCCAACCCACCCGGGATAGCCTCAACTCGCCGGGATAGCTTAATGGATCAATCACCAGTCCCTTGCTGGTCGGAACCTTGAATTGCGGCCCCATTCCCAAGAAAGTCCACTCATCCGCCGGGCCGTCCCCTTCTGACTAGTGCAATCAATCAATCATAGGATGTCTCCTCTTTTAGTTTTGAGACATCCATTTCCACTCACTCCATGGAGCATTGGAGTCCTGTGGAGAAGTCCCTCCCCCCCCCTTCCCAGCAAGTCCCAACCGGGCCGATGGATTCATGGCTTAAGCTAGTGAGAGTGGATGCAACGCCCTTCCATCGATTTTCTTTCCTAAATTGGCGGACAGGGCAGGCGTTATCGTACCAATCCTACCACGTACTTCTGACTTCCTTTGGCGCACGATGGGTGAGGTCGAAAGTCCAGGTTACCGCTCATATCTAAGCACCAAACACTAAACATCGCATAGGCTTTACCAAGAACGGGGCCTCGGAGTAAATGAAAGAGGAGGCAACTGACTCACTGACTCCGATCTCACATGCGCCCATTCGACGCCCATTCGACCTGTAGAGGTCGCTATATCTGCTAGACCAACGAAGCGGTTTTGTCATCTCAAGGAATAGTTATTCCTCCGCATACTTTTGTAAAGTTGTAATTCCCCCCCTTCTCCCGCGAAGTAAGCCGCTCCACCCACCCATGGACCATACAGGTGAAAGATAACACGTCTACTTCCCCCATCTGCATGCCGATATAGATCCTCCGTCTTCCCTCCAATTCCCTTCTGGCTCTCTAATGCACCCATGAGGGGGACTGCAAGAGGATCGAGCCTAAGAGACCCCGGCTACAGCTGCTACAGCGGCTACAGCTGCTACCACGGTAGTAGGTAGTAACTTACTTCCAGACCATTCAATAATCCTTGCCTCTTGTCCAGGGAAATTTGGGACCGATCAATTTTTTTTCTATCCCGGCTTCCTGCTGTTCTCCTTCCTCCGTCCGATTAGGCCGATTTTCGGTCTTATGGCGTACGAAACATGAGACTCATTGAGCACCGACCACGCAGCCTCGAACACCTGTTGGGCTCAGACGTCTTTCGGTCAAATGACAAGTCATTGTTGTCAGTTGATCTTCGCCCGGTTCTGGGGCACCAATTGTGATTGATATTAGCCAGACGCAGCCGTGTCAGTTATCCAGGTTTTCATAATTGTTGCCCCGACATTGTGGGAGATCAGGTCAGCACTGGCGCTCGGAATCGATCGGGGAAATGACGATTACGATCATTCGCTCAGACCTTGTTGCCTTTCCCTGGTAAGATCGGTTCCTAGGGCTTGTCAGCTTGGGTGGATGTTTTTCCCTGGAATTTTTCATTATTGCTTTCCCCTCTTGCATGCTTTCCTCTTCTTGGGGCGCGCCATCGAGGTTGCCTCTCTACTGGCCCGTCTGTCCGGCCTGGGCAGGATACCGACAGGAGTCGTCCGAATGAGCGAACCGAAGACGACTCACCACCGCCGTTGAGTCGGCGTGCACCCAGCTTGTGCCACTACATTGGTTGGTTGAAAAAGGGTGCTGGCAGGCCCTGCCAAATGGTTGCGGAGAGGCCCCGATTGCGGAGAAGTTACTCAGCATTTCATCTGCTTGTTTGGCAGATGAGCGCAAAGAATTTATATCTACCACTCAGGGTTGGCGGGATGGTGTTTAATACGTAAGCCACTGTCACTGATCTTGACCCCCTTCACACGCTTCAACACGCACACACCCACGCACCACCACCACCACCACCACCACACTTTAACTCCGAGCCAGGTGTCATGCATGCTGCAAGCGATGGACCAATCTGGGTGGACTGCGCAAGCCCAGGATCCGAACAAAGGTCATTACTTCGGCAGGGTCGCAGGCTGTCTTCTCCTCTCGCGCGCTCTGTCTGACTTAATTGATCTATTCTTGTGCTTAGTCATGAGAGGCTAAAAAGGGCATCATGGATGTGATCGATCTCTTTTTTGCTTCTTCTATTTTGATCATAAACTACGGAGTAAGATCCGTGGAAGAGGTTCTCAACAACCGTTGTTCCTTCCCGCAAGTGACGATGGCCCGCATTCCACCAGAAGACTCCGACGTGGTTCAAGAGCATTGTGATTGCTCTTCCAACCGCCGTTGTTCCCGTAGCTTTCATGCTTGTAGCCATGCAGCCATTCACCCACCATGGCTTCCCGGTCTTCAGAGTCTGGACTCAACAAACACCCCAGACTACTCCGTACCTAGTAGACTATCAGCCGGCTTGGTCACTATCCTTAATCTCTATCAGACCTTCTCTACGGAGTAGGGTGAACAGCTCAAGAGACACAGCCCGTCTGGTTGCTGCAGGCAAGGTCACTACGGATGCTAGTGGTCGAATTCGACCATGTTAATGGTCACACAGCCAGGAATCTGGACAGCATCACTTTACGCCTGTCCCCGCAACGAATTTAGACCAGACTAAGTACATAGAGATGGAGAGAGAGAGAGAGAGGGTCTTGTCTCGCCCCCGGAGTTCCCTCGCTGATGAAAGCCGTTCCTTTCCTTATTTACCTTATTTTCCTCTCCATTTTCTATTTCTCAATTGAGTATTTTGTTTCAATTCCCTCTCTCTCGTTTCTCTCTCTCGTTCAATCGGTTGGGCATCTTGGCGACAGAATTTACTGTACCAATTGGGATGACAGTGACCGACTTCTGATATCAGTCCGACCTCGGATAGTAATTCCGTTCACTGAGAGCTCCTCAAATCTATCCATGGCACGACGTGGTCTGAGAGATAGAGAGAGAGAGAGAGAGAGAGCGCGGGACGGTATGACGACCTAGGCCAGGTAGGTAAGGGAGAGGGAGGGAGGCAGGCATTCTGCAGGCTGCAAGCTGCACCCAGTTGCAGCATAAGGACTCGGAAGGCTGATAGTAGAGTTTTCCCGGGATGAGAAGGAGGAATGAGAAGAGGAGAGCAGAGGAGAGGAGAGTGAGGGGGTGGAGTCAAAAGCAAAAAAAGGATTGAGGTGGAGGGTCCAAGCGACAATTGCAAATGGATACATCGCATCGATGCATTCCGATTCAATTGGGACCAGG